ATGTTTTAATTTTTTTTCTTTCTTTCTTCCTTTTGTTTATTTTGGCACTGGAGATTGAACCCAGGGGCTCTTAACCACTAAGCAACATCCCCAGCCCTTTTTAAAAATATATTTTACTTAGAGACAGGGTCTCCCTAAGTTGCTTAAGGCCTCACTAAGTTGTTGAGGCTGGCTTTGAATCTGTGATCCTCCTSCCTCAGCCTCCCAGCTGGGATTACAGGAGTGGGCCACTGTTTCAATTTCTTTTAAAATGGAAAAAAAAACACATAACAACAACAACAATAAAATGAATATAGCCTGGATTTTATCATCTTTTTTATCAAGGCAGTTGTAAAATCCAATTTTTAATATGTATTTTTACTCACTTATTTTTATTATTGTATTTGGGATTGAACCCAGGAGCACTTTATCACTGAGTTATATCCCCAGTCCTGTTTATTTTTTATTTTGAGACAAGGTCTTGCTAAGTTGCTTAGAGCCTCATTAATTGCTGAGACTGGCCTCAAACTTGAAATTAACCTGCCTTAGCCTCTGGGATTAAAGGCATGTGCCATCATGCCTGGCTATTTACTCATTTTTGAGACAGATTTGCTAAATTGCTGAGGGTCTCACTAAGTTGTTGAGGTTGGTCTGGCAACTTGGAATCCTTCTGCTTCAGCCTTCCCAAATGTGCACCACTGMTCCTGCAGTAAGTAATATGTATCTTTTTTTAAATGGAGGAAGAAGCCCAAGAAGTCAAAATTCCTACAATTCATGCAGCTTTGGCTCAGGGTTGAGAAGGATTCTCTAGATTCAGTGGAAAGAGCACAGTGATCCCTCAGTATCTGCAGGGGTTTGATTCTAGACCTCCTCCTTAATGAAATATGAGGATATTCAAGTCCCTTATATAAAGTTGGTGTAGCCTTTGCATAAAACCTGTACACAACCTCCTGTGTACTTTATTTGTGCAGAACTGGAGAGTAAACTCAGGGCCTTGCTCATGGTAGACAGGCACTTTACTACTGATAGCACTGGGGCTCTATATCCCTAGTTCTGTTTATTTAGACATTGTCTTCCTAAATTGTTCAGGTTGGCCTTAAAGTTGAAATTGAGTGAGTGAGCCGGCCGCCGGCCCCCAGCTCCAGCACCACAAACTGCAATCTACCTGAGGGATTACAGGCATGCACCATGCCTGGCTCCATAAATTATCTGTAGATCACTTACAATGCCTAATACAATGTAAACAGTATGTTTTGTAGTTAATACCATATTGGTTGAAATAGCAATAAAAAAGTCTGTATGTGTTCAGTACAGATGCGATTTTTACTTCCAAATATTTTTTTGAAAAATTTTAGTTGTAGATGGACACAGTACACTTATTATACTTGTTTATTTAAAAMTTTTTTGTAGTTGTAGGTGGACATCATGCCTTTATTGTATTTGTTTATTTTTATGTGGTGCTAAGAATTGAACCCAGTGCCTCACAAGTGCTAGGCAAGCTATCTGCCACTGAGCTACAGCTACATCCCTATTTTATTTATTTTTATGTGGTGCTGAGGATGGAACCCAGTGCCTGACAGTGTCAGTTGAACACTCTACCACTGAGCCACACCACCAGCCCCTCCAAATATTTTTCAACTTGAGGTTGGTTTAATCCACAGTGTGACAAAGGGCTGACTATACTTGCTGTGTTTGCTGAAGGCATGAAGAGGGGAAATGGTACTTTGATCTAGTTATCTTTGGTCTGGTGAGCTGAGCACAGAGATGTTTTGGGTTCAAATCCCAGATCCACAACTTAATCTATTTCACCTTTTTAAGTCTGTTTCCTAAACAGCAAAATAGAGTTTAGGGAGCCTGGTAAAGATGAGGTAAGGAATGAACTGATAATGAAAGCCAGCACTGCCCAGATCCTGTTCTAATAAGCTTTAAGTCTATTAATCCTTTTATTATCCCAGCCCCCAAGAAGTATTAATATTCTCTTACTATAAAATATGCTCTGGGCAATTGAACATTGATCGAAATTTCGTACAAAGATATTAAATGCACAAATAAGGATTCCCCAGGTTTCAATGTCCCTATATTAAACTCAAGGATCTGACCCAGAAACCCGTCTGTCCACGTCCCGTCTGCACCTTCTGCTGGCGTGAGGTGGCGCTGTCTGGCCACAGCATGCAGGAACGTCCACGCTCTCATTTGACAAAAGAAGCGTCGACATTCTCGTGATTCGGGAAGTGAAGGTTCGGGTGTCAGAGAAGAGTCAAGACAGAGCCAGGAGCTAGTGGGAGGCATCCACGCGAGCCAGGGGTGGAGACCTAGGGCTGGGGGCGTGGTCTCGGGCGGGGCGGGGCCTCTGTTGGAGACCCTGCCAGCTTGCGGGCCCAGACGTGGCGCAGTGGCCGGGTGGTTGGCCTCCAGCCTGCAGATCATCAGCTGGGTACCGATGAGCTTCCTGCTGCTGCCGCCGCCAGTGTTGCTGCTTCTTGCGGCGCTTGTGGCCCCAGCCACCACCGCCACCACCTACCGGCCGGATTGGAACCGTCTGCGCGGCCTGGCCCGGGCCCGGGTAGAGGTGAGTGAGCCGGCCCCCAACCCCAGCACCACAACCCACAAGCCCTACAGGCCCCACAACCTTGAGATTAGTGTTCGCTCTGGCTCCAGGAACACCCCGACCCCGACCGCCCTCCTTTCCTCCCCAAAAGCGCCAGGACCATCCCCCCCCCCCCCCCCCCCACCCCCGGATGCTTACCTTGCAGCCTGGCATCCCAAACCCTTGCCTTTCTCTCTTTCTGGCCCGACAGCAGGTCCCTGGACAAACAGGCCCAGTCTTTGACTTTTTGCTAGTCTAGGACTCTCCCCAAACCTGCTTCTGGGAGCCCAACTTCCCATCCCCCTTATCACTTCACTTATTCCTGGAATTCCTCCCCCATCCCAGTTCTAGGGCTTGGCGCTCCAGAGAATCTCTCTTCCTTCTTCTGGGGAGGAATGACTTTCTGGGCACCTCCCTTTACTCTGCAGAAGCCAGGGAAGGGGGCTGGAAACTCCGTTATCAATACTTACTATGCAGCAGTCCCCTTCAACCTCCCCGACCAGGAAATTCCACAGCAAAGTCTGTCTTACAATGTGATTTGAACCATCTCAGCTTCTCTCAGAACCTTAGTTTCCTGTCTGACAAAAGTGGGTAGGATGAAGGAGGCTGGAATGGGCGGTCCTGGGGTCTGAACTCCTGCTGAGATGGCCTCTCCTCAGGGAATGCGTAGAGGGATGCTCCCATCCTACCTTAGGGAATCTGACAGATGGTCTGTGGAGCTGGGCCACAGGTGGCTAGCAGGGCCCCACTCTGCATGGGTGGGGCAGGGACCAGATGGCAGGTGCCTCTAATGGGGGCCCTCAGGGCAGTTCTGAGTTGTTTCCTTCTTTATTGAGATTTCAGGGGCAAAAGGTCAGACCCAGGTCTCTACTTCCTGAGAAGGGCAGGGCTATCATSTCTGTCTCTAGGGCATTGGGAATTAATGATCAATAGGTTCATTCAAGAGCCCCAGGGCTGGCAAACCCCCTATGGGTGTCTGGCCTTGCACCTATTTCATTAGTTTCTCTAGGCTTGAGTTTCTCTCACCATAGAGTTCCTCCTTCTGCCCACAAGGGACCTTCATTCACCTCCTTCATTCCTTGGGAATTGCTCTTCTAGGGATAACTCAACAGTTCAACCCAATTCAAGGATGAAGATGTAATGGTCTTGGGGGTGAGATTAGGGTAAAATGAGGCACTTCTGACCTATCCCATTTTGTCCCCCTCCAGACCTGTGGAGGATGACAGCTGAACCGCCTAAAGGAGGTGAGTTTGAAAGAAGGGGATCTCTGGTTCTGTATCCTTCGAGCCTCTTGGGGAATGGCCAACATGATTAAAAAAAAAAAAAAAGATTGGGAACAGAGGGAAGGGAAGGGGACCAGTTCTCTGATGCTCTGGTTCCTCCCCAGGTGAAGGCATTCGTCACTCAGGACATTCCATTCTAGTATCCTTTTATTCTGGAGAAGGGGACATGAGGAGGGCACCTGGGAGAATCTCCTTTTATTGAATTTCACAGTTAAGAGATGGTAAATAGTTTTCATTGGACAACAGAATTGATTGGTATTGACTGCCCAGAGGATTCTAAAGTGGTCTTCAAATTGGGTAGGCAAGAAAGAAACTGGAGATAAAGGCCCTTTATTTCTTTGAACCCTAATTTCCTTGCGTATAAGTGGGGATCCCATTTGGGCACAGAATAAGCATTCAGCAAAGGCGGTATTGCTGGCTCCAGGAGCCCCAGCTCCCTCTGTCCACCACTACTCCCCTTAACACTCCTTTCAGCCACAACCTGGTGATGAAACACCTCCCTGGGGCCGACCCCGAGTTGGTGCTGCTGGGCCGTCGCTATGAGGAACTAGAGGTGAAAACTTGGGAGGCGGGTGGGGGCGGAGCGAGAGTCGGGGTTCGACATGCTGACCTCACCCCTTCTTGGCCTCAGCGCATCCCACTCAGTGAAATGACCCGCAAGGAAATCAACGAGCTGGTGCAGGAACTCGGCTTTTACCGCAAGGCTGCGCCGGATGCGCAGGTGCCTCAGGAGTACCTGTGGGCGCCGGCTAAACCCCCCGGGGAAGCTTCTGACCGCGCCGACCTGTAGGTCCGGAGGTGCGGCGGGGCTGGGGCCACCCTGCCAGAGTCCCGGAGACCGAATGAAGCGCTCAGCATCCCGGGAGCGCCTCCCTTGCTGAGGGCCGACACCTCGTCTCCGAGCCAGCAGAAGTGGGGTGGGGGAGGTTCTTCCTAGCCCCCTTTTCTTCCCTCCTCAGCTCCACTAAATTTCTTCCACCTTAACCGAGGCTCTTCTCCTTCTTTGCTACAGGCAGATGGTATGATAGGTCGGAATGGGTGCTCCAAATACCACTGGGAGACCTCGCATTCCCAACGCTTGGCTGCGGGAATTGGGCCCATCCAGGGATAATTCGCAGCTCGGCCCCCTCCCCCAAGAGAGGCAGTCAGGATCGTTGAAAACCAATAATTTATCAAAACGCGTGTGTATGCAGAGGAGGGTGTCGCGACAGACAAGGCAGCGGTGGGCGGGAGCACAGGGAGGAGACAGTGCCTGGAGGGTGGGGGCGGCAACCTGCTGCGGGCGGGCGGTGCAGCTAAACATTCTTGCCACGCAGGCGCAGCTCATGGCGCCGCAGGTGGTTGTAGAGCGACTGCACGTAGGTGAAGACGCACTTGGGGTCGGGCTTCTTGCCCATGATCATCATGTCCTCCACCTCCACCAAGGGCACGCAGTCCACCAGCATCCTGCAGGGAGCGGGTACCGGGATTCTTGTCAGCACCAGCCCACATTTTGTGATGCCCCTCTACCCGAGGTCTTTTCATTGCTGCAGCCTATTGGTCTTTCATAAACTCTACTGTTCATAGATTGGGGGAAAAAGCCTTCCTGGAGCGCAAGAAGCCCTGGTCCCACCAGCCCAATCCCAGAGATAACACTACCCATATTACACTAGGCAGGTAGAGGAGATTGAGGGGTGGGGATGGGGACAGAGCCTGCCCCACCCCAAACAGGTTGTGGGTCTCTTTTACCAGCCCTTCAGAACTGGGGAGTTCCTGACTCCAGACCTTTAAGTCTCCTGCTCACCCTCACTAACACACTCGAGTGGGTAAAAGCCTCTGAGCTGGACCATTGCACACAGAGGGGTGTCATCATTGACAAATCATTTCATGGCTAGGATTTTTGGGCCCTGATAATTTTCTGTCAGCTTCCTGATCTGGTACTTACTGTCAAGCAGCCTAAGGATTCTCTTATCCATGCTCCAGGGATAACCCTGCTGCTGGAAAGGGAGGCCAAGAAGTGTGTGTGTATGTATATGCATGTGCACTTGTGTATGGTGTGTGTCAGTGGGGGTTCTTCCTCCTCCTGCCTCAGTAGTGGAGATTGAGCCCAGGGATGCTTTATCACTGAACTACCATCCCAGGCCTTTATTTATTCATTTATTTTAAATTTTGCTAAGTTGCCCAGGATGGCCTGAAACTACAATCCTTCTGCCTTAGCCTCCCAAGTTGCTGGGATTATAGGCGTGCACCATCACACCCAGCGAGTGTGTGTRGGGGGTTCTTGCACCCTAATCATCTGCCTTGGGTAGAGAAGGGGGCACAAATGAGGGTTCCAACCAATACCAATGGACTATCTACAACATGCTCAGAGTTGAACTGGACCATCCTTCAGAGTGCAAGTTGCACTTTACAGATAGGGAAACTGAGTCACAGACCAGAGGAGTTGTTTGCTTAGGAGTCAGGGCTGCCCCTTGTTTGTTGAAAGCCTCACAGTAGATGTAGGGCTGGACCTGACAGTTTAGGCACCTGAGTAAAGCCCTATTTTCCCTATTGCAGGAGCCCTTTTTGTGCTCTGGGGTGAATAGGTTGTGACTACGATGCAACTGACAACTCCAGAGCTGTAAAGCTGGAGTCTCTGGCTCTGTTTCCCCCTCTCTCCCAAAGCAAGGCCTTTCCTGCCTTATTTCCTCCCATCTTCCATGTATGGCACATAGTAAGCACTTGGTCAACGTTGCTGAATAAGTTTGCTTTGGCAGGGAAGACATGGGAAGGATTGATCCTGTTTCCAAGACACAAGACAGCCCAAGACCACCTCCCGTCTTGTACCTTTGCAGACACACTCGGGCCAATTCTCAGCTCACCTGAGACTCTTTCAAGGAAGAAGCCCGGGAGGCAGAAAACCTGTTTCAGTCCAGATTATACCCTAAATCATCTGTGGATACTAGATAAGGCCTTGACCTGTTCTGTGACTCTGTTTTTTCCTCTTTATGACAGTATAGCCTTTCCCTACCTCATTTCAGATCTTGAAAACACTTAAAGATGAGTGAAAGGTTCCTGGCTCTGCTGCTAATGTGCTATGTGCCCTTAGGGTCATCCCTGTCCCACATGGGGCTTGTTTCCCCAGCTGCACCATGGAACAGAAGCAGCCTCTTCTCTGAAGCTTCTTCCAGCTGGGCTATCTTCCCGGGGATCCTGGCCTCCCTCCCCCAACCTGGAGCCCCCTCCCGCCCCTGGTGCCTTCCCTGGAGACCTTATAAAGCCATTGTTTACACTGGGGTGCACGGCTTAGGGCTCAGGCTGCCCCAGTGACAGGCCAAACACCAGGCAACTGGGGCAACAGCATAGCTGAGTCACACTTTCCAACTGGATCAGGCTGCAGTAGGCCCCTCTCCCTCCAGGCTGGCCTGCTGGGCAGCAGTTCCCAAGTCCATATATGACCTGGAGACAGAATCAAGCCCATCTTCCTCTTACCTGCACCTGAGTATGTATGTGCATATGTGGGCTGCCCTCCACAATGACTGCAAACCTGAAAGGGCCTCTCTGAGTGTACCCTATTGGCTTTCTCCCTGACTCATTACTTCAGGCAATCCCCTTGCTCTCTCTGGACCTCTGGTTTTACTTCTGTCTACAAAATGGATAGGAAAACAGTGGTGGGACACAGAAAAGAGCCACTAAATGGGGAATCTGGAGCCCCACTTTCTGACCTCAGCTCGGATTTAAACCCTCACCCCTGGAAACCCTCTAAGCCTACCTCTCCCAGCTCTGAGCTCCTATATGTAATGAGGCAGTTAATTAGAATCTGAATTCTCTACTGTGGCCCTGAAATAAAATGACAAGAGAGGATATGCCATAGCTAGCTTGGGGAATCCAGGACATTCAGCCAGAAACACCTTCCTGTAATTGGCCCTATTCCCAAACTTCACACCTTGGAGTACTCCACCAACTCTTCAGGATCCACACTGACCCTCCTGCTTCCTTGCAGATCAGGAAGCCTGTACCCTGTACTTTTTATACTGGTCTCAGCATTTAGTCCATCTCAGGCCTCATTTGAGGATTGTTCTAGAATACTGACTTGCCTACAACTATCCTTCCTCAGTTCAGAAATCTTTTAGGACTCTTCTTATCCTCAGGAAGAAGTTCAAATTCCTGCCTGTGGCCCTTTCCTCCATCCTTACATTCAGACTCAAGCTCCCTTCCTTCTGGGGTGTGCCATCCTCTCCATCTCTCTCACCCCACCCCCTCTGCCGGAAACTTTCTCCCTTCTTTAGCCTGAAATTGTTGTACAAATCCAAGCTTATTTTGCACTTTGGTCAGATAGTCATTCTGGACCTGCAGCCTGTATCAGGAGCCTCCCTTGGGTTTTCCCCATCATAATTCCACTCACCTGGGTCATTGCTGACTATGAATAATGGTTTCACCTGCTAGGCCCTGAACTATCAAAGATAGGATCCTGTCTGCACCCTCTGCCTTTTATAAGGGCCCTCCAACATTCCCCAATGCCCCGTCCACCTCCCTGGGCCCCACTCTGAGCCCCGATGAGCAGATTCCAGTTGAAACAGGGCAGGTGGGAGAGGCGGCGTTTCTCACCGTGGGGCCCCAAGCAGGGGTTAGGACTTTTTGGTTTTTACCAGCCCCTTCTGGACCAGACAGCGGTAGAACTCCTGGATGTACGTGTACACGCACTTCCAGTCAGGCTCTCGAAGCCGCACCATGTCCTCTGTATCCAGAAGCTGCGGGCAGTCCGCATGGGTCCTGGGGAGGGTAGGGGGCCGGGAAGGGGCAGGGGGCAAGGGCCCAGTTGGGGAAGAGGGGGAAGAGGCCAAGAAGAGAGAAGGGAGAACAGAGAGACACACACATACACACACACATAGAGACATGAGTTCAGTTTCATTCTTGGTGCTGCAGTCTGCCAGCCCCCCGCATGCCCCCTCCCAATTGTGGACGTGCCGCTCACTACCCATCACTAATGGTGTGCAATGCAGACAGGGGTGGGGGGGGCAAAACCAGTCACAGGTGCAGAGAACTCTTGGGGCAAGCGGGAACGCAGGGTGGGGGGGCAATGGCTTGGCGCCATGGTCAGAGAGGAGGGCTGTGCCCCAGGGAGTGGGGGTGAGGGAGGCGTGAGAGGAGGTGGAGGGAGGAGGAGGAAGAAATCTGGTGGGAACCAGAAAGAGAAGGGAAGAGACGGAAAGATGGAGGAGGGTGCTGAGAGTGAAGTGAGCAGAAGGGGCAACGATTCCAAAGTGGAGGGCTTGCTGATGTCCTATATAAGTCTTTGGCAGCACCTATATAGGCTGCACGGGCACGGTGCCCGGGCCAGGAGCCTCCTTTTGGAATCTCCAGCCAGGACCCCGTGGGAGCAGGAAGCTCTGGTGATAGTGGGAAGAGAGGAGGACAGAGAAAGGGAGAAAGGAGGGAGAACGGGTAGAAGGAGGAGGGAGGAAATATGGACAAGGCCACCTGGAGGGCTTTGGCCTGGGCTGGTAGGTGGACCTGTAGCTCCTTCCTTCCGACGGGCACCTGGCACACTCAGGAGCAGGTGGGTAGGGGCAGAGGAGGAAGGGGACTTTCTGGGGAAGGGGATCTCAGCCACAGACCCACAGTGTGGCTGGCCAGCTCCAGAGGGTCTTGAGTCAGCTGAGCCCAGCTGACACCAGCAGGGCTGGGGCCCACACTTACTCAGCAGATGAGAAGGCCACCTCGAAGTTCTGGCGCCTGTTCTGTGGGCTAAGCTGCCCATAGTCGAAAGCCTCAGGGAAGAAGTTGTGCACTAGGGCACAGAAGGCCATTCCATCACTCCAGCTGGAGGAGAAGTTCTGGATGTCCACATGCTATGGGAGGTAGAAGGACTGGTCAGGACCCTGGGGGCAATTCCTCCATGCCCACTATCCTTTAGTGTTTTGGCACTCCAGACCTAGGCTCAATAGCTTGCTCAGGTCTGCACAACAGGTGAGTACTCAGAACACAAGCCTCTTCCAACCCAGTCTGTTTACTCCCATGTCTGTAATTTAGGGGGATGGAGCTATGGAGAGGCCCAGTGCCACCCAGCTAAGGCAGTGGTCATGCCTCCATCACTCCTTTCCTCACTTGGAGAAATTTACCCAACACCCTCCACAGTGCAACAGGGTGAAGGCTTCAAGAGTTGGGTTGGGCCCTGAGCCATGCCCACCCAGCAAGGGGCTCTCATTAGGCCCTGCTACTTAATCCTTATTCTGGGATCTAGGACATGTCATGTGTCCTCTCTCTCAGATCCTCATTGCAGAAGGCTTTCCATATTCACTGCTAGAAGCTGTGGAAACTCAGAGGGGAGTGAGTTTTCTAAAGAAGGAGGTGATAAGCTGGGGTCTGAGGAGGCTGCTGGGCTCACCTCATAGCCACGGGTCTTGGCTCGGCACCAGTCTAGCAACATCTGCTTGATGCTGTTGGCATTGGGGACACCAAAGCTGGTGGAGCGTTGCACAACTGCACGAGGTCCGCCAGGGCTGCTGTGGGAGCCATGTTGGAGCAAGGTCACAAGGCTATAGGTCACCACCTCGGTGGACCCACCTGACAGACCCCCAGGCCCTGTTTTCTATGATGTTCAGACCCTTCCCATCACAGTTCATTCCTGTTCTACCTGYCCCCTGGACCCGCCCATCCCCCCCAACATGTGGTCACCAAGCCCAACTTCCACTTCCCAACCCTGGCCCTCTGCTGCTCACCCCGTGGCACCTTCTTTCTCCAACTTCTCAATCATGGCCTTGCGTGCTTGGGAAGCTGATGTCTTGGGCAGACTCTGTGCTTTCATCAGCTCTTTCTTCTTTTCTGCCTGTCGTTTCTCCAGTGCGGCCAGGCTACCAGGCCGCGGGCTGGCCTGATCCTCTCGGTCAAAGATGCTGGAGGGTTGAATGGGGTGGCAAATTATGGAGCTGGAAGAGGACCACATTGAGCCTCTGCCACTGCTTGCTGAGGAATGGATCTTATTGTGCACCAGGATCTCCGTGTCTCTACCACCTGCAATTCCAACCAGTGAGGGAGTAGCATTCTTTTTTTTTTTTAATATCATTTTTTACTGTTGTTTATTTATTTATTTTTTTATGTGGTGATGGGAATTGAACTCAGGGCCTCATGCATGCTAGGCAGGTGCTTTACCACTGAGCTATCTCCCCAGCCCAGAAGCAGCATTCTTTTTTTTTTTTTTTGGTGATGCTGGAGATTGAACCCAGGGCCTTGTGCATGCAAGGCAAGCACTCTACCAACTGAGCTCTTTAAACACCCATTTTACAGAGTACACGGTGGCTCAAAAATAGGAAGATGGGAGCCAGGGTCTTTTGATCAGACTTGGCTCCCAGGAATTACCTGAGAAGATTCATTATTTTATCAAGTTATAGGCCCATTTATCAAGTAATAAAAATTATCAGCATAATAATAATAATGCCGAAAATAATAGCTCATGTCCCTTGAGCCTTTTCTGTGTGCTACTTTATTTATTTATTTATTATTCATTCATTCATTCATTCAGTGCTGGGGATAGAACCGAGGGTCTTCTTTATGCTAGACAAGTATTCTGTTTTTAGATTACATACTCAGCCTTCCTATGTACCATTTTAAGTTTAACAAAGGGAGAAAGGGACACATGCTATTACCAATTAAGATGAAGAAACTGAGGACCTTGGCAGCACTTTGCCTAAGATTTCAGAGGGAATTCAGAGCTGGAACTTGAATGCAGAGAGACAGAGATGCAGGTTTGATTCAGAGTCCCTGGACTGGATTCTAATCCACTCCCAGTTTTGCCAACTCTGACCTCTTCTGTAACATGAGAATTTACCCACCCACTCACAGAACTAAGGTATAAAGGTGCTCTGTGACCTGGGAGGTAGTTTGTAGACAATGGGAAGTGGCAGTGCCAGGAGGCAGCTCAGTATGATAGGCAGGCTTCTCTGAGGGTTCAATGTTATTGCTGCCACTCAGAGGTGTTGGACTCTAAGCAAACCTCTAGTGTCATAGAACATCTATCTTCCCACCATGGTGTGGCTGAGAATTAAGTGAGACCACAATGCAAGTCTGACTCCCACTTTGTCCCTTCTTGGCTATACACCTGTCACCTCACAGCATCTCAGTCTACCCATCTGCAGAATGGGTATGAAGTGAGGTACCCTGTGGCACTGATTCCTCTGTGGTATGGGACACACCAAGCTCACCTGCCCATTTTCTTGGATGAAGAGGAGGAAGAGGAGAAAGTTTTGGTTTGCACTGTGGTACTACCACTGCCATCTGCAAAAAATGAAGAATACAGTGAGGTGAGAGGCCCTGGGTGGAATATCAAGAGACAGGAAGATGGTGATAACCACAGGTAGAAAAGAGAAAGTGAGAGCACAGCTGAAGACGGACAGTGCTTGAGGAAGAGCCTGAGGCGGCGAGGAGACGAGGAGACAAGGAGGCAAGTGGCAGGCACAGAGCCACGTTAGGCAGCCTTACTCTCCGAGCGCCTCACAAAGCTTGACTCCACTGTGGTGGTTCGGGCTGTCCGTGTGCCATCATCTGGAGAGGTAGATGAGAGGAAGGGTATTAGAGGCACAGGAGTTCAGTGGGAGGATTTATTCCCACCCTGAGCCCCAAGTCCCACTCGGTCCCTTACTGGAATGGACTAGCCGCTCAGTCTTGGTAACAGTGCTGACAGTTGARCCATCGGCTGCACGTTGACTGTGCCTTGTGGTGGTCTCTGTGGCTGTGTTGCTTCGGGCCTCCCCTGGTCGGGCCCGTGCCTCCTGCAGCCGCCGTTCCCGCTCCTTTTCCCTCTGGTCTGGGTTGGGGATGCCCCATGCATACCCAGAAGGGCCACCCAGTGCCCACACGGCACATGTGCACAGGCACACAGGGCACACAAAATGGAGTGGAGGGCAGCTTGTTAGAAACAATAATGACACAGTCTAAGTCTACAGGGGCCTCTCTAGGAGTAGCTGGGGTGGGAGGGCAGCTGTAACTTGGCAGGGAGTGGGGTATGAATTTCGGGGAGTAGACTCAGGCAGAAACTAGGGAATACAGAATAACTGATCTCAAAAGCATATTTTGGATCCAAGAAAGAAGTTTCTATAGGAATGCACAGCTGAGTCAGAAGGGAGCATCTAGATTAGAGAGGGAGTAGCTGACTAAACAGTCTGACTGGGCCATCAATTTGTTGTAGGTGGGGAAAAGAGCAGCTGAAGGAAGGATTATCTAGGTCCAGGGAGAGAGTGATTGGAGGCATTTGAGAAGCAATATGATCCAGGGAAAAAGTAACTGGGAAGGAGCTACTGAAGGGGGTTAACTGGGCCTAAAAAAGAACTAGATAAGTGGGGATAGAGGCTGGGTGGCTGTCAGTAGGCCCTGGAGGAAGCAGCTAGATTTAGAAAAGGAGTAATTGAAACTATCTGGAGAAGTAAGGAATCTAGAATCTGAGGCAAAGAATAGCTGTGTTCAGTGAGGAGTAACAGGGAGAGAAAGTAGATTTGTTCAGGAAAGGGGAAGCTGGATGGAGGCAGAGACTAAGGTGGCTGTCACTGGACCTCTGGGAGAGAGAAACAGCTCAGGGAAAGAGTATCTGGATTCAGGGAAATAGTTTTTTTTTTTAAATTTTTTTGGGCAGTGCTGGGGATTGAACCCAGGGCCTTGTGCATGCAAGGCAAGCACTCTACCAACTGAGCTATATTCCCAGCCCCTCAGGGAAATATTGACTGTACTTAGAGAAACAACTGGATCCAAGGAAAGTATGGCTGAGGGAGGGAGTTACTGGGTCTAGGAAGGAGAAGGGATGCTGATTGGAATGGCCAGGGGAAAAAAGCAGCTAGGGAAGGGATCAGTCAAATCCAGGGGAAGAAAGCAAGGGAACAGCTGGGTCTAGAAAAGGCGAAGCTGGGTAGGGTAGTTATATAAGCTTGAGCATCCATAAATGGACCCCAGAGTGAGGGAAGCAGCTGGGGAATGGAGTAGCTGGATCTAGGGTAGGAAACCTGACTCTCTACCTCTCTTCCTTTGTCGGAGCTCCCGGAGTGCAGCCCTGATGAGCTTCCGTTCCTCAAAATCTGTGGCCTGATCCAGCTGCAAATAAAAGTGTCATTGTCTACTGGCACGTTCCCACCTACTACCAACCCCTAACCCACCAGATCTATTATACCATCTTGTCAAGGACTCCTTCATCCTCAATGGCCATCAGATCCTCGGCACTCAAAGGACTCCGCCCTTCTGGTGCTTTGTCTACCCGAGTCTGCTCAGCACCATTGGCTGTTTCCACTGCAGCAGAAGGGGGCTCCGCTGGTTCTGGCTCCATCTTTGGGGTGGGGGAAAGCATGGCCTTTAAGTAAGGATGAAACTCACGATGTCCACAGTGGTTAGAGGGCCATATCCTGGGGTTGCTGGCACAGCCTTGGAAATAACCAGTAGTCTGCCAGTCTGCCTGCTCCAGGATGGCCATGGTGGTGTCAGCCTCATTGAAGAGAAACTAATAGTTTTGGTGTATGCTTTCCCACATATCCATAATCATATTAAACCCAAGTGGTAGTGGCATAATAATGATTTCTATTCAATAACAAGCATTTGTATAAACACTAGGGATTTTATTGTCCCTATTCAACAGAAGGGAAAACTGAGGCTCAGGGCAGCTGAATGATTTATAGTCCTTCTATAAATGTGATGCAACCTGGGATCTGAGATAAAGATAGTATAACTTCTGAACTTGAGTTCCTTTTGCTGTTTTATTTCCAGCCCTTTCCCAGGACAGTTCTTTTGCATCCTGCAGCTCCTGAGACCTGGGACACTGGGTCAGTACCCAGGCGGCACATATCCCATCTTCCTTTGCCAAGGGGGTTGGATCAGGGCCTGCAGGCTCCTAACAAGGTATCTGACTGGGGCTGCTCTAAGCCAAGACCTCACTGAAGTTCTCTTCTGAATCCCTCCTCCCACTATCCCACCCTTGCTAGAAACCATCCTTTAAGGGCCTCCAGCCCTGACCTAACTCCCACTCTTCCCAAGACATCTCCTTATTATTGAAGTCAAGGCCCCAGCCCAACTAATACAGTTTCTCCCTATCTGGCAGGGCCTCTCTATCTGCCATAATGGTAAGGAGAGCTGAGGTGGCAGCTGTTTCAGGGAGGCTCAGCCTGGCTGGAGTGTGGGGGTTGGGGTGGGGCTGGGCCATGGCCATGCCAGGGGATGCCAGGGCAGCTGCGGAGAGCATATGCCTCAGGGTGAATCTGGTGCCCTCTTGTCCTGATCTTGGAGCACTATTATCCTGGTCTCCTGTATAGATAGGTAAACTGAGGCTCAGAGGAGGTGATAGCACACCTAAGGTCACTTAGCAGAGGCAGGACCTACCTCAAAACCACCCACACCCACCAGCTGAGAGGGACTTACAAGACTGCTGCTGTGGGTGGGGCCGGCAGAGGAGCAGCGGCGGGTGCTGAAGGCAGGCGGGTGGGCCACTGGGGTCCCGGCATCCTCAGCTGCCTGGAAGAGGGCCTCGGGGTCGGCAGCAGCCAGGAGCAGTTCACTGGGTTCCAGCTCAGGCTCAAGATCCGGCACAAGTGGGACCCCCAGCCGAAGGCTCAACACTTCCACCTGCCTGCTCAAGGCATCCAACCGCCGGCTCAGTGCCGCTGTCTCAGCCCGCAACTCTTCAGCCGTCTGGGCCACAGGCTCCATGGCGGCTACAGCTGCCTCAGCTGCCTGGGTCACTGCCGCCCGGCCTGCCTCAGCCACCGCCTGCAGCTCCTCCAAAGCCTGGCCCAACCGTTCCTCGAGGGCTGCAGACATCTCAGGCCCAGGCCCTGGTACCCCCGGCATAGTGCGGGATAAAACTCTAAGGGGTGTAATGGTGGGACAGTAGCAGGGACTGCTCTCTATGGCTGGCAGAATCAGAGTCTTTGCTGCTGAGGGCGAAGGCAAGGGCAGCAGGCCTGCCCCTCCCCTGCCGGCCTCCCAGCTCACCACCAGCCAGCTGGAGCTGCAGCCCAAATAGAAACCTATTCTGGGCTCCTCTGTAGTGGGGACAATGGGGGAGGGGTGGCCTGTCCAAGTAGGCTGACCGCCAGGCCTGGCCCTAGCCCTGCACAGATCACAGACCACAAGCACAGCAAGGCTGCATGTGTTCTGAAGGATTAATGAGACCAGGATCCCATGCCTCACAGATGAGGAAACTGAGGCAGGGAGCAGGGAATAGGGCTATTCGAACCACCATATACATTAACTGTAAGGATCTATTTGCTAGACTCTAGAGCCAATATGCCTTTGCCCTCATGCGATTCCATTTTAGAAATCCTTGGACAGATGGGGAAAATGGAGGCACAAGAAGACTGGACTTTGAGCAACCTACTATAACAACTGTAATAAGTATTACAGCCCTGAGATAAATGGACCCTAGCCTGCCCATGGTGCTCAGATCCAATCACAAATTTTAAGCAAGTGCATTACAGATATGCTATCTGTTCCCCTATGTGGGGAAACTGAGGTGAGTTGGCAGTGCAAGATCCAACTCTCACTGTAGCATCTTCTATCCACTCAAGGGTCTCAGCTACAWCCACTCCCTCCTGACATCCCACCCCAATTTCTTAGCAGACAGCACTGGTCTTGATGTTGGACAAAGATGAATTATTGTCTTGACTCTTTCCCTGTCATTTCTGAGAAGACACAGAGCTGGCTATAGCCATCTCACCTCAACCAAAGCCCCATCCAGTTTCTGGTTAGGCATACAGGGTATTACCTGGGCAGCTGGGTGGCCTGCTGAGGATCCCTTCCCCAAATGAGCTCCTAGCCAGTTGATCCCAGGCTTAGGAATGAATAATGGAAGGATGCAGTGTATTCAGTTCCCGTGGCACCTGCTAGGCTGCTGCCTCGCCGACTGGTGCCCACTCCCCCTCCTGTCTGTCCCCCATCAATGCTTCTGCCCAACCCCCACAGGGAGGTTGACGCAGATGCTAATCACTAATCTCTAATCTTCTAATGGGTCAGGCTGATCTTGGATCAGCTCATGAGCAGCTCTACACCTCAGGACTGATGTCTAGTGTTGGGTGGGAACAGGGTCACTGGGCTGCCACAGAAAGCGGGGCAAAGACCTAACATCCTCTCTGAGCCTCAGTTTTCCTATCTGTTCATTAGGAATGAAATCAACAAATTCTGGACTAAAGACCAGAGTTCGGCAAGTAGGAAGCTTAAGATCAGTATTAAATGAGCTTCTGGTATGCCTGGTGGCTGATACACTAGAATTTGGTCTTAGCTTGGTCACCAACTGGCTAATGAATCTGCTGTAACAACTGTAACAACTTTCCTTCTCTGAGCCTCAGTTTCTAGGTATGTATAGAGGGGAAGGAGAGAAAACCTGCAATCCCTATGACCTTAAGCAGTTTGACATGATGGATGGTGAGCTGGTGGGATGAAGAAGAGCTCACCTTAATGCTGCAGCCTCCTCGGCTACCAGGGGAAGCGTGGCTGAAGGTGGTGACATGAGTAACACTGCCCAAGCGCGACAGGGTCCCAGGGCTGCTGACATGGGTGATGGTGCTCTTAGCCCCACTGCTGGTGCTGAGGAGCGTGGAGGGCGCACGCAGCCCCAGTGTCAGTTCTGGGTAGGGAGAAGGGCTGCTGTCAGGAACTGGTGGGATGATGGTTGTGCCAACCAAGGTTGGCGGCGCTCTTGTTCCCAGTGCACCCTTTGGAGATACCCTGAGCCTTGGCCACAGCACCTGTCCTCTATGCAGAGCTGGGTAACTTCAGGCACTCACCCCCAGTAGTGGGGAGATGGTGGGGAGGCCTACCTGCCCTCTGGTTGCCTGTGGGCAGCAGCACCCGGCCTGTGGAGGCCTGGCCACGGCCATCCTTGATCTCGATGGTGAATGTAGTCTTCATACTGCTCCCTGGCTCAGCAATACCGACGGCCACGGGCAGCTGGGTACTGGGTTCCTCTGAACAGGCCACAGGCCCCCCTGCTCTGTTTTCAAGGGACCTGGCAGCCAAGCTCCGCCCCTTTGGGCCCTCCTCTTGGGGGCAGCTCCGAAGCTGGGCCAGGGGCTGGGCTGTTCCTCTTTGCTTGAGCTGGGAGGAGGTGTCACTGGGGCCCTGAGAGGAGGAGCTGTTAGAGGAGGCAGCAGGGGTGGTGCTGATGAAGGAGGGGCCCAGGAGCTTTGTGGGAGTCGGGGAACCTAAAGCTGCCCGGGGTGGGCCATCCTGGAGCCTGGCAGCTGTAGGAGAATTGGATGTGAGCTTGCGAATGCGGTCCCTCACAGAGCCAGCCCGCTGGAATGGAGAAGGTCCGCTGGCAAGGGGAGTGGACTCTAGAAAGGATAGGAGGGCTGTTAGTGGCTAAGTGGGACAGGGACTTCCCAGATCCTGGGGTGCTGAGAATAGGTAGTACCTTGGTTCTGGGCTGGCTGGTGGGGGCTCAGCACAGATACAGAGCGTTGGCAGGGTCGGGGGCTAGCCAGATCTGGCAGGTTCAGGAGTAGGTGGCAGCCATGCCCGGGAAGAGAAAGAAGAGTGAATTGGAAGGGATCCATTTCTTATATTCCCTTCCTCTACATCTCCCTAGCCTCTCAACCCCTTTGTGTACCCCAAACTTCCCCACCCCCTCCTGTATCATCCAGTGCTAAGGCCTTCCTACTCAGCCACATCTCTCCCATAGGCAGTCACTTCCCTTGCCTCCTACCCTGACCCCAGGGTGACTTGGGACACTTCTGGGGGCCAGGGCTAAACCTGAGCTGGAGGAATGGTGTCTAGATCCTCCCTACTGATGGGGATAGGGGACAGCCCCCCTGGCCAGCACTGCCCATGGCTCTGGCTGGGAGATGGGCGCACTCCCTTATTGGGAAAAAGAATGTGCCTGAGGCCCGTTGCCTTTCAAGGCTGCAGGGAGGCCTCTGGCCATGGGTGGCAGGGGTGGGCCTGGCCAGGGGCGGGGACACCTCAGGGGCAGTCAGGGATTGCCTAAACCTGAGGAGGCTGCAGCTATCCAGGCATCAGTGCATTCTACAGTCAGGGAAAGGGAGTCTGGGGCAGGGAAAGGCAGATGCCTGTAGCTATCCCTGATGGAACCCTCACCTGCTCTTTTTGTATTGGAAGGACCTCTGGTGGGGCTCTGGGTGGCAGGAGGCTTTGTGGGCCCAGGCAGGAGCTGCAAGGAGACATGATATAAGCAGGGCTGATTCCAGATGGATCTCATTTGCTTGGCATCCCATTCCTGTTCCAGACTCACCTTGGTGACCACCTGCCCCTCAGTGCTGAGGGTGGCTGGTGACTCGGGGGAATCAGGTCTAGGGGTTCCCGAAGAGCTAGGAGGTGGCTCAGGGCTGCCTGGAGCCTCGGCAGCAGGGCATTGGGTTCCAGCAGGCTCCAGTGAAGGCTCAGGAGAAGCAGTGGTAGGTGAACTGTCGGGTGAGGCTGATGAGCTAGGTGTGCCCCCAGGTGGGGCTCTCAGCAGGAGTGTCACTGTGGTTATATCCTGGCTGGTCCCCTCGGGAGTTGGGGTTGGCTCTGGGACCTCTGCCTGCTGCTCCTGTTCTTTGACTTCTGATACCTGTGGGGGACCCATAGGATTCAACCAAGACTTTCCTACCTTGAGTGCTATCCCTACCCATGGAGGGCAAGGCTGGCAGGTGCCCAAGGCAAGGGCATAAAAGTAGAGGAGCTGAGCACAGCTTCCTGTGGACACCTGCACAAGAATGGGGATATCTCTCATCCTTACTTTCTAGTCTCTTGGCATTGCCTAGCCAAAGGTGGTTCAGAGAGGACCAGATCCTAATGTCAGTGGTTGGAAATGGCAGAAGACCTGTTGGGGATTCCTGGCCCTAATAGATCCCTGGAGCAAAGCCCCTTGACCCTCACTCAGCCTATTTAATCAGTGAATAGGTAGAGAAACCTGCCCGGACCGGTGACCCAGCGGCCTCTGCTGGTCATTTAGGGAATCTACACGGCCTGACTTTACCAGCACTCCTGGAGAACAGATAGCTCTGACTCTGAACAGTATTCCAACAGTTTGCTGGGATCTGACACACAGGCCCTGGGTGAATCAAGGTAAGGATGCAGGCTGTCTGGAGGGTAAGGGGCAGCYTGGGATGGGTTTAAGGAGGGGAGGTAACATCACCAGGGTCAGGTTTGCATTTCTGTGAGATCCCTCTGGCTGCTAGGTGCAGGCTGGATGGCAGGAATGGGGTTAGAAAGTAGGAGTGAAGGTAGGAGAGGTACCTATGTATCAATAAGAATGGTAATGGGGAAGGGGCAGAAACTTGGGAGCAGTGTAGACAGGTTGGCTTTGAGAGGAAGGCCTGGTTAGAAACAAAGTCTGGTGTAGAGGACACTTGGCTGGAATTTGCCTGAGAGAATGGGCAGAGGCCTGAGAGCTCCAGTGTCTGCAAACACAGCCTGGGGTCCTCCCTTAACAGTCAAACACCAGTGTAGCAGACAAACAGGAGCTCTGTAATGTTGGCATCTGTGGGCACAAGACACTGAGTCCCCCTTCTACCATGGCCGTGCGCCTTACCTTATGCTGTTCCAGCCTGTATGCTGCCCGCCCCTTGCTGTCTTCTCCAGAGCCACTGTTGGAATGCCTGCTGTACAACCTCCCAGCCACAGTGGCGGCTGGAAGGGCAGAGGCAAGTGTCAGGCGAGTGGCTGGGAGGTGCTGTAGGCAGCACACAGCAGGGCAGCGGTGGAGCCAGGAAAGGGCACATACCCTCAATCTCCTGAGCCCGTACACGGCGGATGGCAGCTCGGATCAGCTTGCGTTCCTCGTACTCACCAGCACCTCGCAGCTGAGAATGAGAGGCAGGTCATGGGTTTTAGGCTGGAGAGTCAAGGTGCTTCACCTGCCCTGTCCCAGTCCTGTCCCCATCCCCTGCCCTGGGTCATACCAGTGTGGTCAACTCCTCCACATCATTCATAGACTCCAGCCGCCCTGCCAGTCGTGTGAGGGCAGCCTGCTGTTCAGCTTCCCGCTGCTGAGAGCTGCAAAGATATTATGACTGTAGCTATCATTGCCAAGGCCAGGTCATGGAGGATGTGGGCTAAAGGGAGGGTCAGGACAGGGTACCCAGAACCTTGACAGTGGGATATGTAGCTGCCTATGCAGACTCTCTGGCTATACAGTGATACACAAATGCCCCTGGATGTGGGAACTAATACCACACACTCAGACATGCTGTCCACACCAGTGTGGCAAGGACATCATCATAAATATATAGTCCATGATGATAGACATACCTGTATTCACACCTTCCTATACACAAGTTGAGCCCTGGTGCATTCTTCCCTTCCCACATGCATTTCCAATGTAACCCCCACCCCGAACCCTGCCACTCACTGCAGCCAGTTCTCCTTGTTGTCCTGCCGCTCTGCACGGAAGCGTTTAGATGCCAGAGCCTCCTCTTCACGTTCCAGCTCCTGCCGCTGCAGCTCCCGGATGGCTGAGCGGATCCTTCGCCTCTCTGCCAGATCTGCTGTGACCTCTAGCTGCAAGGGTAGGTGTGGGTGAGGGTCATTTTGGCAATCAGGGATGGAAGGCTGGCACCAACTGCCCACGGCTCTGCCTATGACACAATGAATGGCCTGTCTCTACTCTATCTGTTCCAAGCCATTCACGTGCCTGACCACCCACCCAGGGCAGAGGTCTCAGGGGGAGCCCCAGCTCACAGCACCAAGGATCCTGGGCAGCCTGCTATGCATTGTGGTTCACAGAGCACCCACTGTAAATGAGCTGCCCACCTGTGTCAGGTGCCAAGCAGCCAAGCACCCCTCCCTGTTATTTGACTTCTGAGAGCCTTTCATCAAAACCCCAAGACTAGGGAGCAGCTGCAGAAGAGCATTCATTCCTGTGAGTCATTAACACAGTCCYTAGAGGGAAGGGTGATTTGGGTAGCTGGAGAACCCCTGTGAGCAAGGGAGACTCCCACAGTTCAGTCCCAGAGCAACATAGCCTTGCTGATTGACAGATGGAGAAACAGGGGTAAGTGCTCAGGAATCCAAGCTACCTGTCTGACTGGGGGCTATTTTYCCCCCTTATTGTCCTAGTCCTAGATACCATTGAAGGAGCCAGAACCCAGAGAGGGAAGGCAAGCTCCACAGAGAGATAAGGCAACTGGCCCTAGGGGTTACCCAGAATCCTAGAGAGGATGTCTATGGAAGACAGGTGCTCCCACCAGTTTTTCAGCCCTATAGCTCTTGACCAGGTCCAGAAAAGGACATCTTCTCTGGACTGAGCTAGCTAATTCTTGTGGTTCCCCTGCACCACCTGATAGAGGCCCCATCCCAGGGATCATGTGTAGTTCAAGGGAGGAGGCTGGCCCATAGCCCCAGGAGGAAAGTGGCAAAAAGAAGGCAAAAGGCTTCAGTGTGGGGTCTGATAGCCAGATAGGAGCAAGCAAAGGCAGGTGATTCTTTTTTTTTTTTTTTTAAGAGAGAGAGAGAGAATTTTTAATATATATATATATTTTTTTTTTTAGTTTTCGGCAAACACAACATCTTTGTTTGTATGTGGTGCTGAGGATCGAACCTGGGCCGCACACATGCAAGGCGAGTGGTGCTATGGCTTGAGCCACATCCCCAGCCTGCAGGTGATTCTTTTATCCCTATCCCCCAAACCAATTAGGGGATAGAGCCAAGGAAGCCTCTTTCCTTCTCCTTTTTAGCCTCCCCCTTTATCATTTCTTTCTGCTTAGTAGGGGAGCAGGGTGGCTGGGGTGTGGTTGAGCTGGAGATAGATAGGTTTCAGCAGGGAGTGTGGGCTGGCCCAACTCAGCCATGAGCCAATTCATCCTAGACTAAATAATGGGGAGAGCCTTGGGGGATAGAGCCCTCCAGGTTCCACATTCATGAGGAGGTATGGGAGGGTCTAAGCCTCAGTCTAGTCTTGGAGGGGTGGTGAGGGGCACRCCCCTTAACCTCTCTGTATTTTTGTTTCCTTATTTGCTGGATAAAACAATGGCCCTCACCTCAGGGCAGAGGATAGGGATGGAGCAGAACTCCCCTGCATGTGCAATATGCAGATGCAGTAATTATCATCCCCCCTTTGTTCTAGCCAATTAGGAGGGAGAGAGAAGAGAGGGTAAATGTGAGAGATAGGACATGTGTACTGAGAATCTGTGTGTCAGACATGGTAATAAGCCCTCACTGTCCTCACCTCACAAATATCCTAGATACATTGTTATTTCCATCTGACAAAAGAGGAAACAGGTTGAGAGAGAAGTGATTTGCTTACCTGAGTCAGAATTTGAACCCAGGTCTCTCTGATTCCAGGGCCTGCCCCAGACTGTGACAACTGTGATGCTAGGGTCTGTGGGTCATGGTGGGGAATCTACAGGGCCCTGGAACTGTATTTTGGGGATCCCTTTAACTTGGAGACCCCTTTAGAGATTTGTAAGCCTGAGGGGCCTATTATAGCAAAGGGAGGGAGAATGAGAATGATGGGGGACCTTCGTGATTAGTAGGTTCAGCTCCTGCTACTCAGAAGATAAACAGTCCAGAGTGACTAGCCCTTTGTCTTCTGGGTCCCCATTTCCAATGAGCTGGGCTCTAGAGATGGGGTGTCTGTCCCCCAAAAGACTGATGTGGTAACTTGGACACTTCTGCAAGCCCTGGGTGCCTCAGCGTCCCCATCCAGAAACTGGAAACTTCTAATTCCCCCAAGTGGGTGGGGTAGGGCTGAGGGATGGAACTCATTCCACTGGTCACTCCCTGGCATGACCCTTCCCTTTGGGCCTGTGGGCAAAGGTTGGCCCAGTGTCCACAGTGTCTCTGTTGTATGGCTTGTGTTCCCCACCCTCTCAGGCACAACCGCTGTGTGTGGAGGGGGCTGAGGGAAGGAGGGAAGGAAGTACAAAGAGCCATTGTCCACCAAGGGGAAGGGGAAGGAGATGGGGCGGGTTTCCGAAACTGCCCAGTGAAATTCTCCCGGGAGGAAAGAGGGTGCTTCCTCCTCTGCAAGGAGGGGCGGGGGGATGTGCTCCCGGTACTTTCTGCTTTCCTTGCTGGGGTCGTCTGACAGGCCCAGCGTCTCTCTGTTCCTCATTCTCCCCACCTGCAAAACCCAGGAGATTCTCCAGGCATTTGCTTAATCCCAAGGCCCCCGTTGCCCACCCGGGACCCGCTAGCAGTGGAGCGACGTCTCGCCAGGGGGCGCTGTATGTCCAGAAGCTCCAGAAGCGCCTTTGCGCGTAGGGCCCGCCCCCGCGTCTCCCAACCGCGTCGCGCTAGGCGCCTAGGGGGGGACCAGACAGGAAGCCCCTCGCCGCCGCCGGCTTTAATGTCCCCTTCTACAGAGAGGAAACAGAGGTTCACAGAAACTAAGCTGCTTCCTCAGGTCACCCAGCAAGGGTATTAAGAGTGCGAACCCAGGACCGGGGCGGAGGGCGTCCGGCATGTGGCCGAGGGGCACGCAGGACACATGTCCTCAGACGCCCCCATTCCGTGCAGCCCACCGCCAGGTCCTCAGGAATGTGCGAGAGCCGAGGCCGGAAGCAGCTGCCCGGGTCCCCGAGTTGGTTGGGGTTCAGGGCGGACGGAGCTAGCCCGACTTTCCCTTATAAGGCCCGGCCCCGCGGGGAGGAGCCCGGCTCGGGACGCCCCGGTTCCTGCCACGAGGCCGGCGAGGGCCGGGCCCTGCCSGAGCACGGGGCGGGACTCTCCCGCAGCCGGTTGCAGAAATGGCGGGCGCCCGGGCGGTGGAGGAACTGGTCTCAGGGTGGGAAAGACCTTTGGCAGCAACACGGTTCTGAGACAAGGGGCGGGGTTTCGTTTGTCCTCTCCCAGGGAGGGTACTGAATGACTTCCAACACTGCTTCCAGTGCCCAAACCGCACATGAAAGTGGGAGCTGGCGGCTTGAAAACCCTGAGCCTCAATGCGGACCCCTAGAGATGGGGATTCGCGGGAACCAGGCCTGGCTTTCCTCTGTTTGCAGCGCTCTGACTCCGCTACTCCCATTAAGACTCYGACTTCCTGAGGAGAGGAGAGCTGACCAGTAGCCACTTTTAAAAACCAAATCCCTGCCCTTCCAGGCTGCTCATAGTAGTGGCGACTGGTGGCAGCAGACGCTCAGAGAGAGTCTAAGGCACTGGTCTGAGGACTCACAGGCATAGTGCCTTGGGGAGGTCGCAGCAGTTGGACTGCGTGCTGGGTAGCTGGCCTAGCTGAGTCCTTCCATCTTCTGCCTTCAGGGTACTCCCTGAAGTACGGGGGTGGAGTGGGTCATTTGTCTTCTCCTAGGAAAAGTAAATCTTTAATTTTCTCCTCTGGACAAGGGTCAGAGACTAGCGGGTGGGACTCCAGCTCTTCCCCAAGGTATACCTGCCTGGCTCTCTGGTGGTCATATCACTTCCTTGCTATGTCCCCCCACAGCCTTTCTGTACATAGGGGTAGGAAGAAACTGGGAAAGGGRATGGTGGGGACCCATTCTGCCTCCATCCCAAGATCTGGGCCCACACCTCATTTCACCCCTATGCCAATCCAAGGACCTAGATTTTGTGGTCATATACACTTCCTCCGCCCCCTCCCCCCATTATACAGGTAAAGAAATTGAGACACTGAAAAATGATGGACCAGAAGTCAGACAGAACTCATAGGGGTCCACAAAGCTTGTTTCTGTCTCATTTATTCTTCCAGCCTTGACTCTCCCAGGATTCTTTGTCCCCCATAAACCTCTTTGGGGTTTGGATCTTGGTACTGCTTCTAACTGCATGCTTTTGGGCAGGTGACTTCACCTCTCTGAGTGTGCTGGCTCTTGGAATTACTGTAACTATTCTGTGAGATGATATATTGAGCACCTAGCCTGCCTCACACTGTGCCTTGACATTATTAATCATTGCTGCTACTTTTGTTATACAGCTTTCAGGGGTAGGCACTGTCCAGGCTGTTGCTTAGCAGAGGCAGATCCAGCCTGCCCACACCTGTGACTGCACATGGGCAAGTCCTCAGTAGTTACTGTTTAAACAGGTGGTGGCAAGGGGTGGAGGTGGGTGCTGGGAGGGACCAGGTTTTAACACCTGGCACAGACAGCACATGCCACAGGGGCCTTTGCATCAGCCACATGGAACCAGCTTGGCCTTGTTCCCTTGACCCCTCCCCCCATCTCTTCTTGTTAGTTGAGAGGTAGCTTTGACTGATCCTGCTTCTCTAGCCTAGTGTGCCTACCCCACAGTGGGGGTCATGGGGCCACTTACCAGTTTCCGGAGGGCTCCTTCATCCAGCCCAGCTAAGGCCTCGTCTGCCATCTCACTGGCTCTTGGCTCTGTCTGTCACCTCCTGGTGAGCTCCCCGGTGCCTATGGCACTTGACACCCGCTCAGAGAATTCTGCAGAGGACAGACATGAGTTAGGCCTCTTGAGGCTGCTAGAAAACCATAGGCACTTAGGCCCTGTGCCTCGGTTTCCCTCTAACCTGTGACCATCCATTGCTGTCCTATTCTTGCTATCCCATCCTGTGTTATGCCTTCTGGCTGAGAGTTGCCCTCTACCCTAGTGTGGTTTTCTGGAAAACCCACCAAACCAAGAATAAGCATCCCTGTCCCAGCCCTGCCAGCTCGTCTGCCAGTGGCGCAGGCTGGGTCCTCATCCCATTTAAGTCTTAAACAGGGAAGGCAGGGACTTGGATTGAGAAGCCTGAGTCCAGCAAGGCCCACCCAAACTGGATGCACCACCAGGGGGTGCACACCAGTCTCCACAGTTTCCTGCCCCACCCTCCCATCCCCACAGCCTGCCCAACCTCCACCCACTGCACAAACTCAGCTTCTGGCTGTGGGTTGGGTCTTGATGCCACCATCATTCTCAATCCCCCAAGTACAGGAGCTGCGAAACTGTGTCTTCCAACTCTTGAGAGTCAGCCCTTAGGGCACACAATTCTCCACTCCTCTCATCCCCCTGATGCCAACTGTCCTGACCTTCTGAAGCCAAGGATCCAGGCACCCAGCTCCTTCTGGCAGTCACACACTTAAACAATTCATTTTCCAGCTGAGAGTGCCTTCAGAAGCTGATTCACCCAAACTCTGAACTTCAGGCAAACTGAGAGGATCAGAGAGGGCCAGGGATTTGTTCCAGGGAAAAGGAAGAACCCAAAGATTCAAAGGACAGGAAAGGATACAATAAAAATCTCCGTCACTTACAGCTTCTGAAGCACCCTTCCAAAGTGCCCCCAGGAGCCCAAGGCACTCCCTCTTGCCCCATCACTACCCATCAAAATGGACCCCTAAATCATGATCCAGGGTCYTAGCCCAATTCTCCTTCATCTTGTAGCCCTAATGTCTGTCTTTCTGGAAATCAGGAGCCCATGGCCTAGCACACCTGGGTGCTTAGTTAATATATGGTGACTGAAAGAGTCCCATGATTTCCACCCCCTCCTCCATTTGTTGATTCATCCCTCAACCATCCCCTTCCCCTCTCCAGAACAGTCACTTAGCTAGTCACCCCATCTGGTGAATGTGTCTCAGGAAGTCCTAAGTGGGGTTTGTCACGCCTGCTTGCTCAGGTCACTGCTTGCTTTTCCCATCCTTGTTCAGACAGGTGTCAACTTTGCAACCCTTGCCTGTGAGGGTCCTTGCCTCTTCTCTACCTACTTTGTCTGAGACACCCTCCCACCCCAAGAGGATCACACAGTGGTCACCAGCTTTAGGTTCCATGAACATTCGRTTTCCTCATGTTTTTTCTTTTCTGGGGCAGGGGGTCCCTACTGTCTTATTTAGGACACCCAGGTGTCTGTGAGAAGTCTTTTCCTTCTTAGAAATTCCTGCTGCTGCCCCTCATTAGTCCCACGGATTCTTATCACACAGTCTGGGGACCCTGGAGACTGAGGGGCCTCAAGTTTGTAGGCGCTTCCTCAAGGTATCTCCCCATCCCCCATAGACTATAGTTCCTGGGGGTCGAGGACCTCTTGGAGGTATGAGGGCGTCTTCCTCCACGGCTCAAAACCTTCTCCTTTACTTGGAGCTCGCGTGATTGGGTGGGTTCCCACATATGGAGTTCCAGAGCCCCTGTCCAGATATCCGGGTTCTACCCTCTAAACCCGTCGGGGGTCCTGGAGCCGCCCCGAGGCCTGCCCACCTACCTTTCAGTCCAGACCGTCTGTGTGGGGCCTCGGGTTAGCTCGCTCCAGACTCAACAGATGGATTATAGACCGTCCGGCGGGAGGCGCCGCAACCCGGGATGCCAGACTCGCCCGGCAACCGTCCTCTGGACTCTGCTGGAGTGGTCCGTCCAGCCGCGCCAGCAGCCTCGCTGGCTCCTCCCCACCCTAACTCAGCAGCCAATTCTCTGTCGGGTCCCGCCCACCCTTGTGCCCCATTGGGGAAATTCAATTTGACAGCCACGCCCTAAAGTCCCGCCCATCGCGGGCCAGTGGTGTTGCCTACTGCAGTCTTGGAGCTAGTGGCCGGTCGGGTGGGCGTCTCTAAGTTAGGTGTAAAGCTCTATGCCAAAGTCGAGAAGGGTGCCCCAAGCTGGGGTAAGTGGCCTGGAATCATACAAATCTCAGAGCCATCAGTGCAGTTCTTCTCCGCCCTTCTCTTTGTTCGTGAGATCACGTCCCCTCCCTCGACTCCACCTACTCCTCGCGTCGATGCTCAAGCTCTGCCGCCGCCTCCAGGCCGCTTTTGGGACACCTGGTCTGGGCCACCTCAGAGCAGGGATTGAGTGACCAGCAGCACCTTGACCCCGTGTTGGACTGCCTGGGACCATCTCAGATGGAGCAGGATCAATCACACAGCATGTCTTCCCCCGCGCACATACCTTTGCACAGATACCCTCAACTAGCGTGCTTCTCCCAAGCCCTTATAGGATCTGCCTCTTGGAGCGCCAGAGTCCTAAACAGGGAATATGGACTCTAGACTCTCGTTCAACAAATGGAGGAAATTAAGGCTCAGAGAGAGCCAACATTTCCAAGAGCAAACAAAAAGTCAGCCAGACTCATTCTATTCCATATGCTGGTGTCCCTGGAACCTGCTACCCCAACTATTCTCCTTGGGGACCAAAAAGGGTGGAGACTGGGAACATGGAGTCTGAATTACTTGCCATTAAATAAAAAGTATAAAAATATAACTCATTTGTTCTGTGCTTGTCATGCACCAGGTACATAATCCTTGCAACAACCAGATGATACCAGAATCATTGTCCCATTATACAGATGAAGACAACCCATAGGTAGTGGAGCTGTGATTCATACTTAATACCTTCTAACACCTTCTGAGTCTAGTGCTTCTAAGCAGTAGAACATAGGATTGTGGGAAGTTGGAAGTTGGTTCCAGTTGCCCCAGAAGAACCTGGATTCAGATGCTATGCTACAGCAACTCCCCCCCCCMCACACACACATATTTAAGGAGAGATCTAGTATACATTTTCTTTTCCATGTTTTTTCATTTCATCCCCCAAACCCTGTGAAATAGTTTTACACATTGGAAAATCAAGGCACAGAGAAGAAAGCCATCTTCCAATCACCCTGGAGCAGGGGTAAATAGAGAACAATTTGGCAGATAAAGTTTGAGGTCCTCAGGTGTCTCTACTTGGCCTAGGACCCATGTTATTTCCTGAAGGAGTGTGTATGTCCTCCAAAGCCAACTCTGTTGTACCTCATGCACCACTCCTTCTTGCAGAGCACACCTAGGCCCCCTGGATTCTTAGGGCTTGCTTGAGGTGTGGCTTTTGGCTCCAGTGAACTGCATGCTTGGTGCTAGCTATGTTCCTCCACAGGCTGGGAGGAATTATACAGATGAGGCCCATATGCATTGACTTAAGTCTTGCACTCACAATTATTTACCCCTGTGGTACAGTAAGGATGTGAGGGTCCCAATCAGTCCCTGCTGTCAAACTCTCAGAGCATACCTACCTGTCTGCCTCTTTCTCTTCCTACTTGCAGAGGGTGGTGCTGGTGYAGAGGGCAACTGGTGGTGGGGGTGATCTAGAGATCAAAAGGTAGCCCAGCACTAGTATGGGGGAAGTTTATAGCCACAGACCAGGAAAGAGTAAACATCACATGAGGAGGGCCCTGATATTTGCTGAGCACCTGTTGCATGTCAGACAGCTATTGCAAGTTAACCACTATGCAAGATAGATGTAGCTGGATTCTACAGAGGAGGAAATTAAAGCTCATGGAGGTGAAGGCACCTTGGGCTGGCATGATATGTGAACAGTGGAATTCTGCCCAATTCTGAAGCCCCTTCCCTCCACCTTGCAGCCTTGAGGATGGGGGAAATCCTGGAAGGCTTCTGAAAGAAGGTGGTTTGTGAACTGACCCTTGAATGTAAGAGGAAAGAAATTCACTTCACAGAGAAAAGGTAATAGGCACAGAAGAGCATTTTTGGCAATGCAAGTAGAGGCCAAGAGGCTTGCAAATAGGAAAAGGAGGATCATTCTCCTCTGAGTGAAACAGGAGATGGAAGTGGCCCTCTATCTGCCCATCTTTAAAAAGAAGGGGTTGGACCAGTCTGCTCTAAGCTCTCCTACAGCAAAGGGCTATAACAGGAAAGATCCAGATTCTTCCAGGTCCAACCCTGGACTGGCAGAGTAGGGAGTGGCAAAAGCAGCTGTGGGGCCAAGGGTAATATTTTGCTCCAGTGCCCAAGTCTGAGAATGAATATTTTACCAAATTGGTGGTGTTGAATCCCTGAGTCACCCTGGCTTCCCCTCCCCCTAGTCAGGGTCCTGCAGAGAAAATCCAGCCCTGGGGTTAAGAGGCAAAAAACAGGGGCTGGGGATGTAGCTCAGTGGTAGAGCACTGGCCTAGCATGTTCAAGGCCCTGGTTCAAACCCCAATACCAGAAAAAAAAAAAAAAAAAAGGCAAAAATGGTTATGGGTCTTAGTCCTAGTTCTACCCCATGGAAGGCCTTGGTCCTCTCAGTTTCAATTTTCTCATCTATTCAATGAGTTGTGCTCTGAGCTCCCTAAGCTCCCTATACCTAGCCTGGACAATATAAGATTCCAAGGCTTTCAGAGAGAACACCATCTTAGCTAAAGTGGATAAAAGCCAGATGAGACCAGGAAGCTACTAGGCAACAGAGGGTTGGAGGAGTGTGAGAAGGGATGGAGTTGGGCCTGCAGTTGGAGTCTTCAAGAGAGAGAGATGGTATCTGGTTTCTAGAAGTTATGGATAACAAAGCCCTTACTTGCTTTGGTATGTGGAAAGGACAGAGGAAAAGCAGCCTGGAAGAGGAGAACAACATAAGCAAAGGAAGGGAAGTAGGACCACGAGAACTGTGTAAAGGAACAGTCAGGCAAGTGAAGCTGGAACATGAGGTCCCTAGAGGAGAACTGCTTCTTGCTGGGGTTGGT